TTTCTTGCATAATCTCCGAAACCTAGTTTGATACGGGCTTTAATGTCTCTTGATTATTCCGCTCAAAAGACTCGCGTAATTTCAGTTATCGCGGTTGTATTTAAGTCAGTATTTTCTTGTGACAAGCTCAGCAAACAGCGTCTGCTTTTCGAAAGCAGATAAAATATAAGACTAATTGTTATTCAAGATTTGAAGAGTAAGGCTTGGCGAACGTCACACCCTATACGTAAAGTGATACTCTTACGTAGTCGTTTTCAGTGATCGTCTAACCGTCGCGTGAGACTCTTGGAGCTCGCGTTTACACCTCCCGTTCGATATCGCGAGTCGTTAATTATAAACGTTCAAGCGGCTTTATCGCTCGTAAATAGTGCAGCGGAACCCCGCAAGGAACGAGCAAGATATCTAACGGGGCGATTCCCGCTGATCGAGGGAAAAGCGATACTCGCGGATTGTCAACGGCTAACGGCGCCACGAGGCAATCGCTGGCTGGCGGGCGTCTAGTCGTCAGCGAATTCTCAGTCTTTCTGCTGGCGATCAGGCTCGTTATCCTCGTCAATTTCGTTGCTCTGCAATTTGATCGAATTGGTGCGCGTTCGAGTGAAACTCGCGGTATACGGTGTAAATTTTGAAAGGAAGGAAGAGTCCAGTTCCAATAATGAAGGAGATTCAGAGCTTCCACGAGGAGGCAGTCGCCTCCGAGTATCTCATGTCTACCCTGACACCTCGACAGGTAAGGCGAGAAACGAGAGCGTAATGCGCGAACGTAATTGAACGATCGACAAGGTAGATGCGGAAAAATAGATATTGCGTAATGCTTCTATTTTCTAACGGTGGACGTAGCGAATGCGGGAAGCTCGAAGCACGAACAATCGATAGGACGAGAAAGCACCGCTATTTGTGCTTCTTGAATTCAGATGATCAAGTGAAGAGTGGCTCTTGGAAGTTTACGCGACAAGCGATCCTGAGTCATTGAACGTGACGATCGCTTCCAGATGTTTATGTGTATGACTCGAAACGATGACTTCAGCTCGCGTTGTTCGCTATTACTGTCTGCCAATGAATGGTCGCGACGATCTCAATTTCGCGGATTATTTGCCGAATGTTGCTGCGGTCGACAGAAATCTAGGTCGGTTGCTTATGAATGCTGAACGGCACACTGGAATATACCATATATGAAACTATGTATAAACGTCTCGCAGTTAAGACTAAAAGCGCGATAATAAAACATCGACCTTGCTTCAGCGACTGCGATAAGCACGTAGTCTGATATGTTATATTCCAACTGCACTCACATTCCTTTGCAAGGATCACTTTCTATTCGACACTTCCTTCGAATAAGAAAGTACTCCCGCAAGTTTTAGAATTGATAAATTTGTTTATCGATAGAAAGAGAGAAAGGATTGACTGGGAATGTACAGTTTATTAAAAAAGTTTTTGTATTTATACATATATCAACGCGCGCGTGTGTGTGTGTGTGTGTGTCAGAGTTGGGAAAGTTACTTTTTAAAAGTAACTAGTTACAGTTACAGTTCCCTTTGCTGAAAATGTAACTAGGTACAATTACAAGTTACTGGCTATGAAAAGTAACTCGTTACAGTTACTCAAAAAGTAACGAGTCATTACTTTTAAGTTACTTTCTTGAAATGATTGTAAATTATTATTGTAAATACAAAAATTTTACATTTTAAACTTCACTAAATTGTAAGAATTGAATTTTATAATTAATACCTATTCCATTAATTAGTCAGTCCACTTTTCACCAACAAATTTCAAATCTGTGCTTAATATAATAAAAATTTAATGATAGCCTTGTAAAGGTAAAAGAATTTAATTACATGCTCTATAAATACGTTGATAAATTTCCCAAATGGCACAGAGAATTTAAAGAGAATTCAGTCGTATGTCACCAATTCTGAGTTCATTTTTAAATGCAAAAAGAATTCTTTTCACTGAACTAAAGAATTCTTTTTGCATCTGAAAATGAACTCAGAATTAGTGATATACGACTGGATTCTTTTTTAATTCTTTTTAAATTCTCTATGCTATTTGGGTTATTAAATTAATATACGATTACTAATATAATTACTTATATAATTTTAATTTTATTTTTACGTTCCCCAAGTAACTATTAAAGTAAAAGAGTTACAAGTTACTAAAAATAAGTAACTAAGTTAAGTTACAGTTACAGATGGGAAAAAGTAACTAAGTTATTGGGAATACAAATTAGTTCGGTTCATTTTTTGTGGTAAAAAATGAATTTATTTCAGAACAAAATGAATGAACAGATTAATCAAAGTATTGTCCATCGCTGGCTACTACTTTTTCCCACCTCTCAGGCAATTTTCGAATTCCATCTCGAAAAAATGTCTCGTCTTTTGAGGCGATTCAAGTTAGGAGCCAATTTTCGATTTCTGCGAAAGAAGTGAACCGGTGACCTGCCAAATCGTGCTGCATCCGTCGGAACAACCAGTAATCAGAAGGAGCAATGTCCGGCGAATACGGCGGGTGAGGTAAAATATCCCACTTGAGCGTTTCCAAATAATTTTTTACGACTTTTGCGACATGAGGCCAAGCGTTATCATGCAGAAGAATAACTTTGTCATGTCTTTGATCGTATTCCGGCCGTTTTTCTCGTAATGCACGGCTTAAACGAATCAATTGTTGCGTAACTCCCAATGATTCTGCAAGCTCCTCTTGCGTTTGACTCGGATCTTCATCGAGTAATGCCTCCAATTCTTTGTCTTCGAATTTTTTTGGCTGTCCAGAGCGAGGCTTGTCTTCAACGCTGAAATCACCATTCTTGAAACGTCGAAACCATTCCCTACATGATTTATCAGTTGGAGCATTGTCACCATAAACTTCTACAAGCATTCGATGCGCTTCAGCTGCACTTTTCTTCCAATTAAAGCAGAAAACTAAAACCTCCCGCAAATGCTGCTTAGTTAACACAAAATTTGACATATTCAACACAGTAAAAAACAGGGGTTTTGTATGAAACTCAAAGCGATATAAACTGAATATTATTGACAAATGTCTAACCTCTCTGAAACCACCGAAATCAGCTGTCACTATGAAACATTCATAACAGCCAGAACCATCTTTTGAAAACGGACTAATTTGTACTCCCAATAAGTTATAGTTACTGAAAAAATGTAACTGTAACTTCGTTACAAGTAACGACTTACTTCCCAACTCTGGTGTGTGTGTGTGTATGTGCATTGAGAGAATAAATATTTACGAAATAAACAAATATTTATTCAGCGGTTACTATATAACATATTTATTTCTGAATTTTTATTTTTATATTGCTGATATATGAAGAGAATGTTATGATTATGTTATGGTTCTCTTTCTCATATAAATTCTTCCAATTTTCCTATGTTTCTAGTAATGCAGACTGCCAATGCATAGACTTGCTAAGGAACACAGAAAATTTCGCTAGAATTTCACTGCTTCGTTAGAAAAGACAAATTTTTTACCAGTACATTTCAGTTTCTGAAAATATAAACAGCACACATATGAAGCAAAAAGGTAGTTAATTACTGCACAATATTGATCTACTCCTCGGTTACAAAATTCTATACAGTTCTATATAATTCTATTCAGTTTTTACTACAAAATTCTCCCCGTGTACTCGCCGAATAAGTATATTTCGTCTGACTCTTCGAGAATATTCTTTCATTGATCCTTATTTATTTTG